TCATTAGAGATGCAACCTCTTAAAATACCTGACTATTGGTAATTGAGCCAGAGACGCTGTTGAATCTCTCAACTCCCATTTCATTATAATCATTACAGATTTTTGGAACTTCATAAGTTACTCTTATAAAAAAAAAATTATTTGCTGACATTCCACTTCTGGTATGTCTGTGGGCAGATTTAAGCAAGAGAATGAAGCAAACTCTAAGTAGTCACTGATTCTTTAACATGAAATTTTTTTGTATGCTCACACTCAGATTTCTAGTCAGTCTTCAAATATGGATTGTTTTCTAAGACTACTGAGCTAATTCACAAAATTATAATTTCATGCTTGCATGAAGTTAGAGTTTATAAACTAATTGGTCATGCTGTCCATATTAACCAAATAAAAGCATGTTTTTGGAGCAACAGGTGAGTTTGAATTATCTTTTTAAGAAAGTTAATGCCCAGAAAATATATTCTCAGTAGTCTGCCTAGAAAGTAAATTATGGGAGAATGATAAACACAATCAAAGTTTTTGAGAGGTAATTTGTTTGGTTTTGGGGTATTTTTAGGGGTTCTGTTTTGGTCTGTTCTGTTTTTATTAAAACCTATTTCTGTGTCCAGATAATACTTTCTGGAGGATATGTCTGTGGTACATGAATTGTGGTATGATCATTGTGCTATCTGAGATTTTGTAATGAAAACCTTTATCCATTTCCTACTATACTTTAAGAGAAGAATTGCCATGAAAATCTTCCCATGGTGGACACATATCAAGTCACAACACATTCACTCTCAGGGTGGAGAAGGTAAAGTTGTAAAACCCAGTTGAAACTGGAACTGGTAACAGTTACTGTCTGAATTTGGTCAGAAAGATGAGATTGTAGCCCTGAGCTCATAAAAAGAAGAGACCATATCGGTTCCAGAAATTAGAACTGAAGAACTAAGCAAACATGAAATATCTCTTTCTTATTTTCTAGTTTCCTTCTCATGCTCCAGAATTTTGAGAGAGGATGCCATAAAAAGAGTTATTCGTAAAACAGAATTCAATTGCAAGAATGCAACATTTATATAATATAAAGCCCATTTAAGCCACACACACACATGTAAATCTTCTCAATAAGATCTGTTCTAGAGCTTTATTATTACTAATTTTTGCTTTTTGTGTGTCAAATATGAAAAATAAATTTAAAATATCTTACTTCTGCAAAATATCCTGAGAAATAGTCCCATTTCTCTGTATTTAGTGATACATTCAATTTTTTAAAAATCTGCTTTAAGCTACAAAAATGCCTTTCATATTGAAAACAGAACACCGTCTCTCTTGCCAAAATATTTCAGAGGAGCATACAGCTGTTTCAGTCACTGTTGTAATTATAATAAATCTTTTGTTTATGTATGAGGTCTGTAAAGGGAGTGAAAAATTATAGGAATTCTTTGGGGTAAATTGTAGGAAAATTACCATTTCAGCAAATGTTTATTTGGCATATTAAAATAAAACATTTTTTAATGCTATTTGAGAAACACCTGCAGGACACTGACACAATATAGTCAAAACCAGTGAGCAGTTTCTGTTGGTGGTCTGAACATGTAAAAGCCTTTTTAAGTCTAGTGTACTGGTTGATGCTGCCTGCAGGCACACTAGCAATCTCAGCCCTGTGGATTATTTTAGCATAGTGCTACATATATGCAAAAAAAGCCTCTGCCTGATTTGTTTGAGATTAACAAAATACACAAATCAGCCATTTTTTCACTGTTATTGCCAGAGAGCATAATGGAAGCCTCTGCCTATCAAGTTTATTAGAATTTTCAGAAATTTGGCTAAGTAATACGAATGACACTGACACTTGGATAAAAAGAAGGCTCTGGAAAGTTACATGTTAGCAACACAGCTTTGGCAGCATGGGTGGAAGGACTAGGGAACAAGCAGAAAACAGTGTCTTCCAGAACAATAGTCCTTGTGATTGTATCTGATGAGTTTTCCAATACTTTTTGAAAGTAGCTGATGGCTTTTTTTCAACATTTTTTTCAGCTATGGCAATGTTCTGGCAGTGTGGTAAATAAATTATTCAGCAAATATTTCTTTTATTATTAATCAAGGTGTTGGAAGTTCCCTTACCTGCCTCTAAAATGTCTCTGAAATGAAGAATGACAAAAGAAAAACCACCCAGGACTAAAAAGGAATTTTTCTGTGGGTGTAAACATGAGTAAAAACCTTGGACAATCATTTCACACTTGCAGACCTGAGTTCAAAATCCACTACCAGTGTTCCCAGGAGGTACCAAACTTCACACTACTTTGGTTTCTCTGGGTGACTAACAGAAAAAGCAATGTAAGGTTGGACATTATTTTCCTCCTCTTCCCCTTTCTGAATCATTATGACTGTTCAGTCTCAGCAATATAATCAGCAAGATGTGCCAAACAGAAGAAATGGTAGAAGAAATTATTCTATGCGAGACATGTTTGCTGCAATTTTTCCAGTGACATATTTAAAATTGGGTGTGTTTGCTGCAATTTTTCCAGTGACACATTTAAAATTGCGTGTGAAGATAGCAATAGGATGAGAATAAGTTAGAATTCAATCTAGAAAAAATCTACTTCTGTACTATCAATCTCACGAATAATTTATCAAGTCTCTGTCTCGATTACAGATGTTTTTTTCTTTGGGGGCTATAATAGTAGCAGGGATAAGTGGAGAGGGAAAATTGAACAAGAACTTCCTTATTTCAAATGTTTTACTAACCTTAGTTTTGGGTAAGTGCTGACCCTAGTGCTAAGGCAGTTATTGCTGCTGTGGGCTGGGAGGCACCTCACCCTCTGCACTGTTTACAGAACATCTGCAGGTCTGGCTGAAACTCAGCATTTTCACATTGCTTGTTTATATGTTGGTTCTCCTGATGGTTTTAAGGGATCAGTGGCTTTCTCTTCTGCATGTGCTGTTTTACAGTCGACTGCAACACTGATGGGACTAATGGGGTCGTTGAATTTCACTGCAAGGATGATTTCCTCTGGTTGAAAGAATTTGGAAAACTGCTGCCATTCAGCAGGCTGAGAGATGCATCTTAATGCTGTGTATTGAAAATACCACCCAGATGCAACCCTAGTCAGTGATTAAGAGGTATGAACACCTAGGGGAAAAAATCCATTATTTGGAAAAATTGTGAAGATGTGCTGGATTTGGTTGGGATGAAGTTAATTTTCCTCAAAGGGGCTGGTGTTTGGCTATGTTTTGGCTTTGTGCTGAACGCAGTGATGATAACACAGAGATGTTTTAGTTACTGCTGAGCAGAGCTTACACACAGCCAAAGCCTTTTCTGCTTCTCAGACTGCCACGCTGGCGGGGAAGCTGGGGGGGCTTGGCAGAGTGGGAGGAGACACAGCCAGGAAAGGTGACCCCAACTGACCAGAGGCATATTCCAGACCGTGTGACACCACCTTCAGGACATAAAGTGGAGGGAAGAAGAGGGATGTCATCGTGTTTCCCATGATGACATTTGTCTTCCCAAGTGACACTTAGATGTGCTGGGCACTGCTCTCCTGGAGATGGCTGAACTCCTGCCTGCCCATGGGAAATGATGAATTAACTCCTTGTTTTGTTTTGCTTGCAAGCGTGGCTTCTGCTTTCCCTATTAAACTGTCTTCATCTCAACCCTCGAGTTTTCCAGCTTTTACCCTGCCAATTCTCTGCCCAATTCTGCTGGTGGGGGAGTGAATGAGTGGCAGCAAAGGGTTTCACTGCTGGCTGGGGTTAAACCATGACAGGAAAAAATGTCAGGGACCCATTTTTTGAGGCCTGATGTGGTCAGTGTTCTGAAGATCCAAATCTTTCTCTTTTTCACCAAGCTATTTATTATACCAAGTAATCTGCAGACAAAACCTTCCCAGAGCCTTGCATTGTTAATTCCAGTAAATTGCACCCTCACTATAAGCAATATGAATGATGTATAAAACTTCTAATTACTCTTTTTCCCCTGCCATACCATCATCTGGCTCATATTTTTACAGGGTCCCTGCAAATACAAATCAAAGTGATGCGTGGACTGCTGATAACAAATAGCACACAGGACTATGTCTTTGCAGGAAGTTCAGCGAGATAAATCAATGGGAAAAAAACATACTTGTTAAATGTTCCGTAAATCTCCCCCAGATGGCCGATTCACAGTGCTGCTTTACTTAGGTATATCCAGAATCTATTTGGTTTTAAAAATGCGCAGTTATCTTGATTTATTTAGAAGCGGAACAGAAGAAGGGAAGCCTCAGTTGCTATTCCCGTCGGTTGCTGTCTGTTTCTGCGGCAGGCTTGGTGGGGAAGCGATTTTCGGGTCCGGCGCAAGGCAGGGGGGCCCCCTGCGGGCGGGATCCCTCTGCCTCGGGGGAGCGGCGGCCGCCTTCGCCCGAGCACTGGCAGCTTCGCTTTAAAATGAGCCAGAGACACCGTCTCCCGAAGTCCCAAAAGCAGGAGGGGCGTTCGTGGGTCCCTGTCCGGACTGCGGTCATTCAGAGTAGGCGCTGTCCGGCCCGGTGCCGAGGTTTCTCAAGAGAGAAAGCGCGGGTGGTTTCCGGGTCACCCTGCGGCTCGGCGAAGGTGCGGCATCCCCAAAAGTTGTCCCCACGCAGGATGGGAAAGGTTCTGTGAGAGCTGGTCGGCGGGGACCTCATCGGGGAGGGGAATCGCAGCGGGACTGTGTGCATCACATCGGGGAGAGGCGATCACATCGGGGCAGCGGGGATCACATCAGGAGATGGGCGATCATATAGGGGAAGGGAGCCTGACAGCGGCGAGGGGGAGAGGGCATCGCCTCTGGCCGGGCAATTGCCGCGCTGAGCCCGAGGGGACACCCGGTTGATTCACACGAGCGGTTCCCGGGCAGGAGTTCGGGACGGGACGGGGTCGATCATCGGGAGCAGCCGTGGGGGCAGCGCTCAGCACCGGGGAGAGCTCCGCGCCCACCGCGCATGCCCCGCCCCGCCGGCGCGGATAAAAGCGGGCGCGGAGCCGAGCGGCGCCAGCCCCGGCACCGCACAGCTGTGCCACCGCACGGCCCCGGCACCGCACGGCCCCGGCACCGCACAGCCGTGCCCGCACCCTGCCGCTGCCCCAGCAGCCCGCCCGCCGCCGCCGCTGGTCAGCCTCTGAGGAAAAAGCTCCCGCGGACCCGTCTCCCACCCTAGCATGGGATGGGCGAGCCCTGCCAGAGCGGTGCCTGCTCGCCAGCCCCTGGCATAAAGGAAGGAGCGGACAGGGAGTCCTGGGACACGCCGCTGGGTTTCCTGGAGAGCGTTCAAATGGACAACGGGAGCAACGTGTCCTTCCTGCAGTTCTTGAAGACCATCAACCTGGAGCGAGCCGACGGCATGCAGGGGGACAGTTCTGACGTGGTGCGGATTGTCATCTCCCTGGTGTACTCCGTGGTGTGTGCCCTGGGACTGGTGGGCAACCTGCTGGTGCTCTACCTGATGAAAAGCAAGCAAGGCTGGAGGAAATCCTCCATCAATCTCTTTGTCACCAGCCTGGCAGTGACTGACTTCCAGTTTGTGCTGACCTTGCCATTCTGGGCAGTGGAGAACGCGCTGGACTTCAACTGGCTCTTTGGCAAGGCAATGTGTAAGATCGTCTCCTATGTGACAGCAATGAACATGTATGCCAGTGTGTTCTTTCTCACTGCCATGAGTGTGGCTCGATACCGCTCTGTGGCTTCAGCCTTGAAGAATCAGCGTCGAGGAGACCCGCTGGTTGGCTGCTGCTCTGCCAAGTGGCTTTGTGCATTCATCTGGCTGTCAGCTGTCCTGGCTTCCCTGCCCCATGCCATTTTTTCCACCACTGCCACTGTCTTTGATGATGTTCTCTGTCTTGTCAAGTTCCCAGAGGGCCGAGGCAACAATGCCCAATTCTGGCTGGGTCTGTACCACATCCAGAAAGTGCTGCTGGGCTTCCTGGTGCCGCTGGTTGTCATTAGTCTCTGCTACTTGCTCCTGGTGCGCTTCATCAGTGACAAGCACGTGGGCAGCACCTGCAGCGGCCCCAGCATCAAGCGCCGCTCCAAAGTGACTAGGTCAGTGTCCATCGTGGTGCTGTCTTTCTTCTTGTGCTGGCTGCCTAACCAAGCACTTACAACCTGGGGGATACTCATCAAACTCAACGTGGTGCACTTCAGTAACGAGTACTTTCTCTCCCAAGTGTACCTCTTCCCCATCAGCGTGTGCCTGGCACACTCCAACAGCTGCCTCAATCCCATCCTCTACTGCCTCATGCGCAGGGAGTTCCGCAAGGCACTGAAGAGCCTCCTCTGGAGGATCACCTCACCTTCCCTCACCACCATGCGCCCTTTCACTGACACCACCAAGCCTGAGAAGGAGGAGCAGGCTCTGCATGCCATGATGCCTGTCCACCCTGTCCCTGCTGCTCCCCGTGCTGCAGCCGTCCAGGCAGAGGTGGCCTATTACCCGCCCGGGGTGGTGATGTACAGCAGCCGCTACGACCTGCTGCCTGCCAGCTCCATGGAGCAGCACTGCTGAGATGGCAGCGGGCTCTGGGGCGTGGCACGGTGCCAGATGTGGCCTGGGGATATTGAACGCCTGGTCAGGAAAAGGGGAGGAGGGATGAGTAAAGGAGGACTTCTGTGTGAGAGATGCTCTTTTGCGGCTTTGTCTGCCCTCGGAGACACTTGATGGATGTTGTTGTCTGGAAGATGCACCCTGAGCTGGAGAACAGGACTAGGAGGAGGTAGTGGTGGGGTGTCTCTATGAGATGTCTTTTAGTGCTTCTACCTGTGCTGGGGAACAAGGACTAGTGAGGGTGATGGGACTCCATCCAGCAAGGATGCAGGATGTGCAAAGCAGCACAGGGAGGTGAGGGGCTGGGCTGGGGGGACTGAGGCTGGAAGGCCTTGGCCACATCCCCTCAAGCTGGAGTTGCAGGCAGCCCTCCCACCCTATGTGTTTGTCTGTGGCAGGGAGAGGGAGCTGAGCTGCTTTCCCTGCTGCAGGACCCTGTAATCAGTGCGGGCCTGGCTGGTCACTGCTTCCTGGGCTCCACTGAGGGCTCAGGGATCAGACAGCCTCTCTTCTATCACAAGCCTGCCCTGAGGCGAACAGCCGGGACAAGTGGGTACAAAGCTCCTGCTTGTTCAGGCTTGGCGCCTTTCCCCTCTTCCAGGGACTTGGGAAGGAGCAGGGACAAGGAACACTGTGCTCCCCTCCAGATCAGTGCAGGATCTGCTTTTCTAGCTACCCCCCATCCCCCCAGCTGCTGCCAGGGTATAAAGCAACCCAGACAGCCAAGGAGAAACCCAAGGATGGAATTTGCAGCTTCATGAGGTGTTCCTTTTCCTGGGTTTGGAGGGAGGGTGTGAGCCCCCTAATACTGTTCCCTAGCCTCTCTCCAGGCCACTGAGGGGAAAGGAAACCTCACAGCCCCAGACCATGTGTAGCAAGACAGCATCTCTCCCAGGGCACTGAGGTTGCAGGCTTAAGTTTTACTGCACTTCAGACTGTTCATATTTCACTTCAGGAAATCAGCACAAATGTAAATAAAATTTTTAAAAAGGGGGAAAAAGAAACACTCCTAGCCACTTCAAATCACTTGCTCTGGGATACTTCTGGGTTCACTCAAAACTAAGCACAAAGGCTTTAGTTCTGCTGAGGGTTTGCACTGACTCTTGCCAGTGTTTCAGAGAAGTTCAATTCAGTTCCTCTAGTCTGAGCAGCCCTAGGGCCTGCAGTGCTTTTGTAGCCTAGAGAATGTCAGGGATTGGCTTTTACCAGCCTCTGTTCCATGGAAATGCCTGGGAAATAATTTGAGGCTTATCTGAGTCGAACTTTTTAGCGGGATGAAAAAAGTGTATTTTTAAGCTGTGAAAGTTTTTATGATGAGGCTATATATCTACTTCTTAAAATATTTTTTTTTAATTATGAGGGGGAAAAATTGAAATCAAAAGATCAAAGTATTTGTTTTAAATTATGCAAAAGTGCAACATTTCTGGTTTTAGTTTCAGAGAACAAGTTCATTAATCCCTAATACTGCATATAAGATGATTATTTAAATACAATTTTTGAAACTGTTTTCTATTTCCAACCCCTTTCCTTGCAGTCTAAGTTCAACATCTGCCTGATTCTAAAAAGGCAGAGGGTTGTTTGTTACCTCTAAGTACTGACATGGAGAAAACTTGCTATTTCTGTCCGAGAAAACTGCTAGACCATAGTGGCAATTACACTTTTCAGACTCAGTTATGTGTACTGTATGTGTTGGTAACTCCTGTTGTAAAATTTATGTTTGGTCTGAAAGCAGCTGGTTCTGCTACTTGCAAGGAAAAAGTTATCTTATTTTTCAAGGCAGGAAAGACTTCTCCAGCCTTGGGCATTTGCTAATGGGGAAGATACTGGTTTGCAAGTTGTCTGAAGAGCAGCAGAAGTGAGCTGGCAGCTGATGGGCATACTTACACAGATGCAAAGACTCCGAAGAAATCAGACATATCCACAGAAGAACTTGAGCATCTAAGTACTGTACATCTGCCTCTCTAACCTCCTAAATCCTGACTTGGTTGACTGGTGAAGTCTGTAGGTATTTAAGTTTTTTCTAGTAAAATTTTTGTGCCTAGAAACCTGTTCCTGAGCATGCCTAAATCTGCTTAATTCTGTAGCACTTATTTCTGTGCTTAATGGGGATATCTCTGTCGGGACTGGCCACAGTGTATGCTGTGAGGGAGGCAATTCTGCATCCCAGCACAGAAGGCCCTGTGCCAGGCCACGCTAAGTCAGAAGTGGCTGTGAACTCAACTCGTTCCCCCCATCCCTTTGAATCTGTGCCTGGATGTGTTGCTCCTGTTCCAGCTTCAATGTATGTGCAGATATGCTCCTTTCCCCTCCCTTGTGAAATGCTAAATAGGTGGTCACAGCTGTCCCCCACAGCCTCAGAGATTCAGTTCCCCTTTTCCACATCCCAGGGGAATGGCTGAATCTCTGGGCCACTTTGTGAACGTGCTCGTATTCTCTGGCTTGAAACAGTTCCCTGTTACCTGAGTTGCTCACTGTTGCTGGATCCTAATGGCAACGAAAGGCCTCGAACTCTGCTTGGCAGCACAGTGGTTAGGGTGTAATCTGCAAAGAGGAATTGTGGAGAGATTTTTTTATTTTTTTTTCAGCAAATACAGAAATTGGATCCAGATCTGGGTTCTAGGTCTCCCCTTCCCAAGGACAGTGGTCAACTTCCTCCCAGGTCCTGTTTCAATTAAAGTTCCAGTATGCTATCCAGAAACCTGAGGTCTTTCTAGACCTGCTGATAAAACACCTTAATGTGTTAAAGGATTTGCAAAACACTGCATTTCTGATCTGGGAGAAAACCCGTAATGTCTGTGTTGCAGGTGAAGAAAGTTGCACAGTTGTATGAGAAAAGGATATAATGAGCTCTTAAGTCCAGAGTTCAGAGAGATAATCATGTTTCTGTAGACCAGGAGAAAGTATCTAAATTAAGGACATGGGAGGAATCTCACAGCCAGACGCTCTTCTTGCTGTTTGCTTTTGAACAGCATAATTTCTTGCTTAACTTGCTGGAAATTTTTTCCCTATCTGATGTTTAACTGTTTTTGTGCATTAAATAAACAGCTTTCCAAGTGTCTGAAGTGTAACTATGAATTTCAGTAGATAGCAAGCTGCCTGAAAGACAGCCTCTGTGGTGCTCAGCATGGCAAAACCCATGTGCTTTTGTGGATGTCCATGTAGACATAATTCTGTGCCAGGAAAACAATACATTAAATAAAACAGGTGGTGTTCAGAACAAACACATAGTTAGCTCAGAGTGCCAATGTGCCATTGTCAGAGGAAACCCCAGGTGTCTGATCAGTAGAGATATAAAACCTCCCATCTGGCAAATCACCCAAACATGAAAATACCATGAGAGTGTGTAGGACTAGACAATGAAATTAGTGGGCAGCTCTCTCACAAGCCACTGATCCACGCAGTGTAAGTCACAGATCTGCTGTTTCAAAGAGGCACAACGCATTCACACTTGGCCAAATGCTGATTTAGGCCAGACCAGCAGCCCAGGCTGTGCAGGTCAGTGCATGTCCAGCACAGCCAAAGAGCACTGCTCTAGCAGTGCATGAGCTGAGAGAAATTCTGCTTCACCTCAGCCGTGAGTCCCAGCTAACAGCATGAAATCTGTGCTGTGTGTTCATGGGCAGGGACACCAGCCTGGGCCTTGGCAGAAGGTGCAGTTGCTCTGTTTGCACAGGGTGTGTGGCCTCAGCAGAGGATCATTCCAGCTCAACAACAACAAATCCTACCGAGTATCCCGGGGTTTCATAAGTAATGACTACAACACCCTTCAGAAACTCTGTTTCCTACAAATGTTCATGTCTTTGTTTGTAACAATCATCCTTTCGTGTACTAAAATAAACATTGCTGAAGGATACAAAACAGTACTTACTGAATTCTTGACAAGATTTTCATGCTTGGTCTCCTTTGTTACAGATTCCTGGTGGGGTGCTGGTGGAGAGGTGCACTTGGTTATAGAAAGGTAGGGACCTGAAGGTGCAGGCTGACATCTAGTGACAAACTGAGGGAACATTTAAGGACCGGATATTCTCATTAGGCAAAGACTTTAATTCTTTAGGGACACTTAAGTATCTCAGCCCCTTAAATAACTAACCAAGGTCTTAATGTAATAACAACCTCCAATTGCATTTCCAGGTTTCCCTTTGAAATGCCTCTTCGGTGGAAATGCTGTTTCACTTTCCCAGTGAGTTATTCTGACACTCACTCTAGCAGTAAAAAAAGTCCAGTCCCCTTCATTCCCATTCACGACTGTCTGCTCTAAAATTGATTATTCAATTGAGTGTGTGCACAGAAACTCTGATTTAATTTTATCCCTGAGCTGGAGCAGGAGTAGATATGGGTGCAGTTCAGCTTAAGGACATTAGATTGAGAGCTTGGAACTTCTTTTTTTTAGTAAGGGTTTTTTCTCAAAAGAGAATTCCTATTTTTCCATTTAAAGGGGGTTACTGGAAATATATTTTTATAATTATGAGAGCAGTTAAAAGAATCTCTTCTAGGTACAATCTCAGAAGCAGTCAGTGCTATGAGTAGCCAGTTAACTCATTCCTGTGCTAAAGTGTAGCTGATAATATTCATCAGCAGATTTCTCTGCCTATGTCTGTGCATAGACTCAGAGTCCTTTTCAAAATCCTAACTGTAAAATAGAGACTCACAGGATGGCTGGGAAAACTGGGCCAAAAGATCAGCTGCAGACAGAAGCAATTTCTTTAGTTAATTTTTTTGAAACATTGACTTCCTGGTTGGAAAGGACTGATTATTATTCAGTGTGGGAAATAATAAAATAAGTTTTCTTACTCAGATACCAGCTCTCCCTTACTCATCCATTTCTTGGGACAATGAGATACTGTTTCTCCAAGGATTTGTGGTTTTCCTTCAGATCAGCTGAATGAGTATGGTCAGTTGTACAATGCCAAACTAACTGTTGAACACTGACTTCTAAAATCATTGTTCAATGAACCCTTCCACTTTCGCTCAGCTGAACCTCACACTGGATAAAACTGGTGTCTTGTGGACAATGATTTGTGTCTGTATTTGTGAAGAATTCTGATCTATGTCAGCACATTGACATCAGATGGGTGACTCCCACACCAGGGGGTTGTGCCAGCATTCAAAGGGTGTTTAAGGGGCTGAAAAAATGGTGTGACAGGAAGCTCAGGCATCTGGACCAAGGGGATAACAGAGTCCTGAATTCTCTGCGCCAGCACAGGCTGGAGCCCAGTTACCTGGAGAGCAGAGAAGGAGCTGGGACAAGGTGAACGTGAGCCAGCAGAGGAACAGGAGCTGGGACAAGGTGAACATGAGCCAGCAGAGGAACGGGAGCTGGGACAAGGTGAACGTGAGCCAGCAGAGGAACGGGAGCTGGGACAAGGTGAACGTGAGCCAGCAGTGGGCCCGTGCAGCACAGCCCAGCAGCATCCTGGGCTCCACTGGGCAGGACACTGCCAGCAGGTCAGGGGAGGGGCTCCTTCCCTCTGCTGAGCCTGGTGAGATACATCTGGGATGCTGTGTCCCGCCCTGGGCAGGTTACCCAGTTCTGGATTATTTACCAGGGAGGCTGCAGTATGGTGGAGGGCTTGGAGCATCTCCCATGTGAGGGGAGGCTGACAGAGCTGTAGGTGTTCAGCCTGGACCTCAGAAAGCTTTAATAGTGTGTGTAAATATCTGATGTGGGTGGGAATTAAAGAAGATGAAATCAGCCTCTTCTCAGTGTTGTCCAGAGAATGGATGAGAGGCAATAGGCAGAAATTGAAATTCCATCATTGAAATGTAAGAAGGAAAAAACCCCATTTCAAATGGTGTGGTCAAGCACTGGAACAGGTTGCCTGGAGAGAGCGAACAGTTTCCAGCTTTGGAGATGCTCAGAATCTGACTTAACACTGATTGTACTTCTTTAGCAACCCTGTGCTGGGCAGGGGCCTTGGATTGGGTCATCTCCACAAGCAAACCCAACTATTCTGTGCTTTTGTGTGATTTTCTGATAGCAAATAGATTGCTCTG